AATGACCACTAAGTGATGTTCATATATGAAGTATATTTATGGAAAATTAAATTCCAACCACGTGACCGTACATGAAATTCCAACTGGATTGCCATGATATTTTTGGAATGAGTTTTGATACCACTGCACTAAAGCACTTGCATCTTGTGTTGGCCCACAGATTGCAGCTCCAAAAGGAGCATGTGAATGACTATCAACTAGAATCAATTCTCCTGCAGAAGAGCAAAGAACAGCCATAGTGATTTCTTGAGTAATCAGCAGACATCCTCTTTTGATCCTTTCATTCACACATTGAGACAGCAAACCCACAACTGGACACAAATCTTGATTGGTAGTGTTGCAGACATTTTCATCATATGATGATAGTTGGAGTTCTTCTGAACATTTCTTAAATGCATCTTCTCTTCGCCTAAAAAAAGGTGATCATTTAGAATGTGATGATATCATGATTACAAAAGGAATTACATTACTCGGTGGCTGTTCATAGTTATCAACACTTTTATGTATATGTATCCATTAAAGGAATTAGATTTAATGATAACACTGTCCATGGTCAAGCTCAATGTTTTGTATTTATTGTGTGTTATAGCTCAGATATTACATTGAACAAAGAACTCTGAATATAGGATAAGCACATGATTGGTAGACAAGCATAATAAAATGTATGTCATACAAACATCATAATGCTGAATGCTGTACAAATGTGCTTAATATATAAAACTACCTTTACCTGTGGTCAAAGATCTCATGAGGTCATGTTCTTTTCCCAAATCTACAAGTCCAATCAGCTTTTTGACTCCATTTTCACTGCTAATTCATCTATCAAAACGAAGTTGCCCGTCTTTTTTTCATACATTTTCCACGTCCTATAAAAACAAAAGCTTACTTCAGCTTAAAAATAATGCCTGAGGGAAAGGTCGGAAAGCCAAAGGTCTACTTTTACAAGCTTTTAACTTAAATTTATTCTTACCGTGCCTCAAAATCAATCCCTCGAAGTGGGTTCGTGCTTTCCATTGTGTTAATAATGACAAAGCTGTAGTATTTTGCTCACTATTCGCTTTGAAAGGTCTTGGAGGAACATTAAACACTTCTGCTTTGAATAAAACGCAAGGCTTTTACGTACGGGAGGTGCTGACAAAAATATTCACGCGCCATATTTTTCCGCCCTATCTTCGGTGAAAGTTCGCTCACTCGTTGAATCTTCGTTTCCCGATTACTGTCCCATCTACCTGGTGCACACATCGATCCATCACGTGACCAGTGTTTCATACCTTGTCACAGATAAAGATGTACTCGCGAGGCGCGGGATCGTGACGTAACAACACAGGTAACCCGAATTTTTCTGAGAGCACGCGCCGATATATAAATACATTTTCAAAGCGTGCAATTCGTTCCTTTCTGTCTCTAATGCATTAGTTGGGCGGCCTATGGACATAGCGGGGCATTTTCAATTATTCGACATTATACAACTTTTCAGTAAAATCAGACGTTTTGATTGGTTGGCTTTCGTGTGTTATCAAAGTGTAGATACACGGATTACGTCAAAACTAATTGTTTGTTGTATAAAACAGATAGATCTCATTTTTCCGTGTGTGTGTACTCTAATAGATACACAGATGACGTCAAAATGTAGTGAGAACAACAGTCACGCACTCGACTGCGTCTCGTGCGTACTTTTTTGTTCTCACTACATTTTGACGTCATCTGTATATCTATTAGAGTACACACGCACGGAAAAATGAGATCTATTTGTTAAATATCACGCCTTTCAAGACCATGGCTATCGGGGCTTTTGAAAGATTTTTGAACAAAATACTGATAATCAGCCGGGACTTCAGCCTCGTCCCTTAGGGCCTTCTCTACTCGCAAAATGGCAGAGGCTTGTAATATGCTAACTAACTACGTTTAACTACTTTTACTCGGTAAAGGAACCTACTTAGGACCTACAAACACTTTACATAGATTTCTCACTATAAGGTTACAGAGATTGAAGAATAAAACTGATTGATCAAGTGGATTAATTTTATATCGCTTCACTTCACTGTTTGTTGATTTGCAAAGGAGTAGTGAATTTAGCCGGGTCGCAA